GGAGTGGGGTGAGGGGGTGTTAGTGGGGGGTGAGGGGTGTGAGTGGGGTGAGGGGTGGGAGTGGGGTGAGGGGTGGGAGTGGGGTGAGGGGTGGGAGTGGTGTGAGGGGTGTGAGTGGGGTGAGTTGTGGGAGTGGGGTGAGTTGTGGGAGTGGGGTGAGGGGTGGGAGTGGGGTGAGGGGTGTGAGTGGGGGTGAGTTGTGGGAGTGGGTGAGGGGTGGGAGTGGTGTGAGGGGTGTGAGTGGGGTGAGTTGTGGGAGTGAGGTGAGGGGTTGTGAGTGGGGTGAGGGGTGTGAGTGGGGTGAGTTGTGGGAGTGGGGTGAGGGGTGAGGAGTGGGGAGAGGGGTGGGTATGGGGTGTGAGGGGTGTGAGTGGGGTGAGTTGTGGGAGTGGGGTGTGAGGGTTGTGAGTGGGGTGAGGTGTGGCAGAGTGGTGTGGGAATTGGGTGGGAATGGGATGGTAGTGGGGTGGGGGATAGGAGTTAGGTTGAAGTGGGGTATGTGTAAGGTGTGAGTGGGGTGCAAGTGGGGTGATAGTGGGGTGAGGGGTGGTAGAGGGGTGAGGGATGTGAGTGGGAGTTGTGAGTGTGGTTATGGTTGGGAGTGGGCTGATGGGTGGGAATGAGGTGGGAATGGAGTGGGTTTGGGGTGGGAGTAGGGAGAGAGGTGGTGGTGAGGTGAGGTGTAGGTTGTGGGGTGAGGGGTGGGATTGGGGTCGATTGGGGAGAGAGTGGGACGGGAGTGGGGGTGTGAATGGGTTGAAAAGGGGTGGGATTTGGATGGGAGAGGGTTGGGAGTGGGGTAGAAGTGAGGGTTATGGGTGTGAGTGGGGTGGGAATTGGTTGGGAATGGGGAGGGATAGGGGTTGAAGTGGAGTGAGACCTTGGTGTGGGGTGGGAGTTGAGTCAGAGTGGGTGTGAGTGGAGTGGAAGTGGGTTGAAAGGGGGTGTGATTAGGGTTAGGAGTGGGAGTGGGGTCAGGAGTGTGAGTGGGATGTGAGTGGGGTAGTGAATAGGGTGGGATGGGGTGAGAGTGAGGTGAGGGGCAGGAGTGGAGTGTAAGTGGGGTGTGAGTGAGGTGGGGAAAGGGATGGGATGGGGTGGGATTGGCATCAGAATAAGGTGGAAATTGAGTGGGAGTGGGGTGTGGGACTGGGGGTGGAGTGTGGTGAGGGGCAAGATTGTGGTGGGAATGGGGTAGTGGGTTGATGGGTAGGAGTGCGGTATGAGGGGTATGAGGGGTGTGAATGTGATGAGAGGTAGTGGGATTGGCATCAGAATGGTGTGGGGAATTGGGTGGCAGTGGGGCAGGAGGGTGGGGTGAGGGGTGGGAATGAGGTGAAATTGGGGTTGGAGTGTAGTGAGGAGTGGGGTGGGAGATGGATGAAAGTGGGGTAAGGGGTGAGAATGGGGTGAGGGGTGGGTGTGGGGTGAGGGTTGGGATTTGGATGGGAGTGGGTTGGGAGTAGAGTGTGAGTAGGGTGGGAATTGGGTGGGAATGGGGTTGGAGTGGGGTGAGGGGTGGGGGTGGGGTGGGAGTTGGGTCAGAATGGGGCGTGATGGGTGTGAGTATGGTGCGCATGGGGTGGGAGTGGGATGGGAGTGGAGTGTGAATAAGGTGTGAGCAGGGTGGGAGGGGTGGGATTGGAGTCAGAATGGGGTGGAAGTTAGTTGGGAGTGGAGTGGGTTGGTAATGTGATGGGAGTGGATTGGGGGTAGGAGTGGGATGAGGGGTGGGAGTGGGTTGTCAGGATGAAATGAGAAGTGTGAGTGGGGTGATGTGTGGGGTGGTAGTGGGGTGAGAGGTGGTATTTGGATGAGAGTGGGTTGGGAGTGGGGTGTGAGTGGGGTTAGGGGTATGAGTAGGGTGGGAATGGGGTGGGATTTGGGTCAGAATGGGGTGTGATGGGTGTGAGTATGGTGTGAATGGGGTGGAATGGGGTGGGAGTGGGATGGGAGTGGGATGTGAATAAGGTGTGAGCAGGGTGGGAGGGGTGGGATTGGTTGGAGTCAGAATAGGGTGGGAGTTGGTTGGGAGTGGGGTGGGAGTGGGTTGGTAATGTGGTGGGAGTGGACTGGGGTAGGAGTGGGATGAGGGGTTGGAGTGGGATGAGGGGTGGGAATGGGTTGTAAGGAATGAAATGAGAAGTGAGTGGGGTGATGTGTGGGGTGGGAGTGGGGTGAGAGGTGGGATTTGGATGAGAGTGGGTTGGGAGTGGGGTTTGAGTGGGGTTAGGGGTATGAGTGGGGTGGGAATGGGATGGGATAATGGTTGGAGTGGAGTGAGAGGTGGGTGTGGGGTGGGAGTTGGGTTGGAGTGGGTGGGAATTGGGTGGGAGTGGGGTGGGAATCGGGTGAGGGGTAGGAGTGGGGTGAGGATAGGAGTGGGCTGATGGGTGGGAGTTGGGTAAAAGGTGTGGGACGGCTGGGAGCAGGATGAGGGGTGGGAGTGAGGTGGGATTGTGGTTGGAGTATGGTGAGGGGTAAAAGTGTGGTGGGCGTGGGGTGGGAGTGGGTTGAGAGGGAGTGTGAATAGGTTTACTTGTCAGGAGTGGGGTGAGGGTGGGAGTAGGGAGGTAGAAGTGGGGTGGGAGTCAGGTGAAAGTAGGGTGGGAGTCAGGTGGAAGTGGGGTAGGAATGGGGGGTGAGTGGGGTGGGAATGGGTTCAGAAGGGGTGGGAGTGGCATTAGAATTAGGTGGGAGTTTGGTGGGAGTGGGGTGTTAATGAGTGGGAATCTGGTGAGATTTGGGTGGGAGTAGGGTGAGGGTAGGGAATGAAGTGTGGGGTAGGAGTGGGTGTGGACTGATGGGTGGGAGTGGTGTGAGGGGTGGGAGAGGGGTGAGGTATGAATACGGGTTGAGGGGTGAGATTGGGATGGGAGTGGGATGGGAGTGGGGTGTGAGTGGGGTGAGGGGTGGGACTGGGGTGGGAATTGGTTGGGAATGGGGAGGAATTGGGGTTGGAGTTGGGAGCTGGGTGGGAGGGGGTGAGGGGTCTGAGTGGGCTGAGGTGTGTGGGACAGCTGGGAGCAGGATGAGGGGTGGGAGTGTGGCAGGAATGGGGTGGGAGTGGGGTGAAAGTGGGGTTAGGTGTGAGGGTGGGAGTGGGGTGGGAGTGGCTTGGGAGTGGGGTGAGCGGTGGGAGTTGGGTGAGGGGTGGGAGTGGGGTAGGAATGGGGTGGGAGTGGGGTGGGAATGGGTTGGAAAGGGGTGAGAGTGGCATGAGAATGGGGTGGGAGTTGGTTGGGAGTGGGGTAAGGGGGGAGTTTGGTGAGAATGGTAGGAATGTGGTGGGATTTTAGTGGGAGTGGAATGAGGGGTGGAAGTGGGATGAGTGCCGGAAATGAAATGAAAAGTGTGAGTGGGTTGATTTGTGGGGTGGGATTGTGGTGGGAGTGTGGTGGGTGTGGGGTGAGGGGTGGGTGGGATTCGGATGGGAATGGGGTGGGATAGGGGTTGGAGTGGAGTGAGAGGTGGGTGTGGGGTGGGAGTTGGGTCAGAGTGGATGCAAGTGGGTTGAAAGGGGGTGTGATTAGGGTTAGGAGTGGGAGTGGGCTGAGGGGTGTGAGTGGGTTGTGAATGGGGTGGGATGGGTGTGAATGGGTTGTGAGTGGGTGGTGAATACGGTGTGAATGAGGGGGGAAGGGGTGAATCTGGCATCAGAATAAAGTGGGAATTGAGTGGGAATGGGGTGGGAATGGGGTGGGATTGGGTTTGGAGTGTGGTGAGGGGTAAAAGTGTGGTGGGAGTGGGGTGGGAGTGGGTTAAGGGGGAGTGTGAATAGTTAGGTGTCAGAGTGGGGTGGGTGTAGGGTGGGAGTGGGATAGGAGTGGGGGCTGGGGTGAGGTGGGAATGGGGTCAGAAGGGGTGGGAGTGGCATCAGAATTAGGTGGGATTGGGGTGGGAATGTGGTGAGATTTGGGTGGGAGTAGGTTGAGGGTAGGGAGTGAAGTGTGGGATAGGAGTGGGGTCAGGAGTGGGTGTGGGCTGATGGGTGGGAGTGGTGTGAGGGGTGGATATGGGGTGAGGGGTGGGACTTGGATGGGAATTGGTTGGGAATGGAGAGGAATTGGGGTTGGAGTGGGGTGAGAGGTGGGAGTGGGGAGTTGGGTGGGAGTGTTGAGGGAGTTGTGTGAAAGTGGGACTAAGGGTGGGATGGGGTGGGAGTGGGGTGATGGGTGGGATTGGGTTGAGAGGTGTGAGTGGGTGGCAGTGGGGTGGTAGTGAGGTGGTAGTGAGGTGGGAGTGTGGTGGGAGTGTGGTGGGAGTGTGGTGGGAGTGTGGTGGGAGTGTGGTGGGAGTGTGGTGGGAGTGTGGTGGGAGTGTGGTGGGAGTGGGGTGGGAGTGGGGTGGGAGTGGGGTGGGAAGGGGTGAGGGTTATAAGCGGGATGTGAGTGGTGTGGGAATGGGTGGGAGTAGCATCAGAATGGAGTTGGGAGTGGGGTGGGAGTGGGGTGAGGGGTCTGAGTGGGCTGAGGTGTGTGGGACAGCTGGGGGCAGGATGAGGGGTGGGAGTGTGGTAGGAATGGGGTGGGAGTGGGGTTAGGTGTGAGGGTGGGAGTGGGGTGTGAGTGGCTTGGGAGTGGGGTGAGCGGTGGGAGTTGGGTAGGAATGGGGTGTGTGTGGGGTGGGAATGGGTTGGAAAGGGGTGGGAGTGGCATGAGAATGGGGTGGGAGTTGGTTGGGAGTGGAGTAGGAGTGGGGTAAGGGGGGAGTTTGGTGAGAGTGGGGTGGGAATGGGGTGGGAATGTGGTGGGATTTGAGTGGGAGTGGACTGACGGGTGGGAGTGGGTTGAGGGGTGGGCGTGGTCTGGGGCGGACCATGCTGTCAGTCATCTTTCCCCGACAGCGTCTCCATCATGGCCGGCTCTGGTGTTGGAGGCCGCAGTGCGAGCCAAGCCCCTCTCCCTGTAACTGAACTGCACTCCTCCCCCCTGGACTCCTCCCGCTCTGCCACCCGGACCCTCCTGGCCCCCCATCCCTCCCCTCCCCCCCTCCCGCACCTGCTTGGGCGCGCGCAGCAGCTCGTCCGCCATGACCAGGGCCGCGGTGGCCTTGTCGTTCTCCGAGCTGGGGTGCAGCGTGACCGACAGCCCGGCCACCACCTGGACAGCCAAGTCTGTCACCGACACCTTGTCCTCCAGCACCGTCACGGTCTTCTCCGCCAGGATGGAGTCGGACAACGGGGACAACACCTGTGGGGACAGTGGGGCGCAGCAGAGCATCACCCCATCGCCGGGAGGAACCCTCCTCCATTCCCTGCCACACCCCAGACAACCCAGAGATCCTGAACACATGACATCAGGGGCCCCGGGTTGCTGCCCTTCCCTGAAAGTTCAATCTGTTGGAAAATGGAAATAAACACAACACCCGCTCCATTTTTTTATTTACTTTTTTTTTTTTTTTTTTTGGTTTTTCAAGACAGGGTTTCTCTGTGTTGTTTTGATGCCTGTCCTGCATCTCGCTCTGTAGACCAGGCTGGCCTCGATCTCACAGAGATCCTCCTGACTCTGCCTCCCGAGTGCCGGGATTAAAGGCGTGCACCACCGCCGCCTGGCCCCACACATTCTTTTGAGGGATACGATATGGAACTATAAAAAGTTCGTTGGATGCATAAGACAACGACGTCTAGAAGAAAAGATGGGAAAATCCAGGCTTCCCCTTGCATTTGCAGCGGCAGTACACGCAAAGGCAAGTCCCATGCAAGTAAGTATACAGAAGCCAGTCTGGAGAACTATGTGGAAGGTGGGACTGCGGGAACACGGGTGCAGCCCTTGAGGCGGGTTCCCATGAGTGAGGAAAGACTGGACATAGAAGGGCTGGTCCGAGTCCAGCTCCTGTTCCCACGTCACGCTCTGGAGCCATCATGGAAACAACGAACTGGTCCCAGTGACCTGCCTCACCCCCAGGGAACCTCTAGTCCCAGGAAGAGTGGTACCAGCTAAGGATGCAGAGCTCCCAGCCTCTGCTTCCTACCTGGATGGTGGTCATCCCAACTTCCCGCCCAACCAGGACCCTGCTGTCCTGCAGGGTGGCTATGTGTGGGGACTCCAGCTTCATGAAGTCAGCGACCAGGTGGGTGATGTCAAACTGCCAGTCTGGACTGAGGAGGTGGCTCAGCTGCCCCCAGGGCCCGGCGCCCTCCGACACAAACCGGGTGAGGACGCGCACTGTGGCGTGCTGGAACTGCAGGGCGCAACCCCGGCCCCTCTGCTCTTCCTCTTCCTCCTCTTCGCTGTCCCGAGTGGGTCTGTGTGGGAGGAAATGGGCTGTCTCAGACATGGGGAGAAGCAGCATAGAGGATCACAAGAGAGCAGGGGTATGCCTCGACCTCAGAAGACAATACTCGAGATGGGAGTCTTGGGCCCCCATGGGAGCCGGGGATCCATTTCTGGGCAGGGCGGAAGCTTGAGTGCATTGGCTGGCATTTCATAAGCTCACACGGCCCCATAAGCACCCACTAGCCAATTTGTTTTTATTTCTTATTTATTTATCTTTTGTTTTTTGAGGCAGGGTTTCTCTATGTAGTTTTGGAGCCTGTCCTGGAACTCACTCTCTAGCCTAGGCTGGCCTCAAACTCACAGAGATCCGCCTGCCTCTGCTTCCCGAGTGCAGGGATTAAAGGTTCGAGCCACCACTGCCCGGCTTGTTTTTATTTTTTTTAAGCATGTGTGTGTATATATATGCATGTGTGCAGGTGGGCACGTGTGTGTGCATGGGCATGTGTGTGTGGATGCACATGGGGCCAAATGACAACCTCAAGTGTCATTCTCAGACACAGTTTTTTTGCTTCCTTTGAAACAAGGTCTCTTATAGGTCCAGTGCTCATGGATTAGGCTAGGCTGGTTGGGCATCAAAGCCCTGCCTGTCTCCCCATCCCCACCCCCCACTGAATTACAAGCTTGTGCCACTGCGCCCAGCATTTTTTTAAATGTAAGTTTAGGGATGGATCTCGGGTTCTGTTCGCACAGTAAGCACTTTCCTGAATCATCATCTCCCTAGGACACCAGTTACTCTTCTTGAAGTACGATAACTCGTCCTTCAAAATGAAGGGATCCTGGGGGGCATCGGGGAGCCACCTGATGGTCTGTGAAGGAGAAGTGCAAGTGGGATACTGGGCTTCGGCAGCAGCCCTCACTCAGCTGAGATGTGCTCATTCAGGGAAAACCGTGACCCAAAGTCCCGTCTGTGACAACCCCGGGGTCACACAGGAGAATCGTCTGTGGCTTTCTGCAATGGGAAGCCCCTGCTCCAGGGTGAACATCAACCTACTCTCCCATGAGATGCTGTCACCATGGAGACTGAAAGTCAAGCCTCCACTTAACTTGGGGACACTGAAGCCATCCCCAGTTGGCTGGGGGCTGAGGGACTGGAGATGATGGCAGACTGCTGTTATGCAATCGGTACAAGCTTCCATGTACCGTGAGCACAACATGGCTCAAGACCTGCCCCTCAGCAATGTGAGGGCCTAGTCAGGGGACCTGGGGCCGTGACCTCCAAAGAGTATGCTGTCAGGGTTAGGGAGAGCGGGGCTGTAGGAACGCCAGCTTCTATGACATCCTGGGTCCTGCCCTGGTCCCTTCGATGCGATTTGTGAATCACGTAGGCGCTGTTGGGGCTGGAGGCGTCTTCCCAGCCCTGGCTCACCTCTTGCTGGCCACGATGGGGACCCGCCAGCCCTTAACCTGGCTGAGTTCTGTGTCAGAGACCTCGATCTGCAGGGGAAGCCGTGGCACCCACACGGTGACATGCAGGGGTGCGCTCAGGTGCTGGTAGGTGAAATTCACCACGGAGTCCACCTTGCCTTTGATTTCTTTGCCATTGACAAAGACGTAGTCGCAGTGGTCTGACACCTGGGAAGACACAGGGAGAGAGGAAATGGAGGTCACATGGCTGTGCTGGCAACCAACATTCAGTTTGTTCTATTAGCTCGTGTATGTGTGCTGAATGTAGGCATATGTATGTGCGTGTGTGTAGGCACACAGAGCATGTGAGCACACACCCATAAAAGCCAAAAGTCAATGCTGGGTATCTCCAGTATCACTCTCCATATTAACTTCCAGAGGCAGAGTCTCTCATTGAACCAGGACTTATTGATTCTGCTAGGCTGGCTGGCCAACAAGCTTCTTGGCTCTCTTGTGTCTGTCCCTTCAGTGCTGGGATTACAGGCATGTGCCACCCTACCCGGTTTTTCTATGGGTGTGGGGAATCTAAACTTGGGTCCTCATTCTTTCTTGGTAAGCACTTTCCAGACTGAGCCATCTGCCCTGCCTCCTGCTTCTTCTACTTTATTACAAAGCACCCTCTTCCAGGGCAGAGCCTGCGACAAGGGTGTCGTGTCATTGGCATAATGGGGAACTGAACCTAGGGAACAAGAGTGAGGAAGCAGACCAGGGTAGGCAGGAGAAGAGAGACGCCAGTAGAAAGGTGCACCTGCTACTGCTGGGTGCCTCACGATAGCACTCAGAATTGTCCACCTCATGGGCAAGAGGCGTGATAGTTTCCAGCTCCCAGCGCCCAGCTCCCAGCTCCCAGGCGGAGGTTGCCTTCACTGGGATAGAAAGCAGAGAACAAATTGAGATAAGGACTTTTAAGCTCCCAGTGGAACTTGAATCTGCAGAGAACGGCAGCTGAGGCTGAAACCCGGGTGTGCACAGGGCCTGTGGTGGCCACCGGGAGCACGATGCAGGCTGATGTCTGCTCAGAAGGTAAGAACTCCACGCCCCAAATGGCCTCCAAGAATGCCAAGGGGCCTGGCACCCCCACACACACCCCACAGTCTCTGCCCCCACTCACACAGCCCCATTGGTCATCTATGGTTCTCAGTCCTTTGTCAAGGGACACGCTTCCACCCCAGTTTGCCTGGCCCGAGCATGTCAAGAGTCCCTAGGACGCTGCTCCACGCAGGACCTCTGGGATCTTTACATTTGCACTATCACTGTTCTCATGAGAGAGGTGGGATGTCACAGGTGACTTCCTGCCTTTGCCTGGATCCTAACCTTTTCCCTTCCCTTCCCTTCTCCCTGGGTTCTTGTCTCTCTCTTCCCTTTGCCTTTCCTCCCCCTTTCCTTCTATTTCTGCCTTTAGAAGCGTCCTCAAGAAGGGAATGGTCCAAAGAAGAAAAACAAAATACGCAGAGAAAACCACGAGAGCAACCTGGCCTTTGTGTTCCAAAGGCAATGATGCATTCATGCACGCTCTACAGCCACACTCAGTTTCACATCTACAATGAAGCCCAGTGAAGTGAGGAGGCAGCAGACACACCTATCCTCGCAGGCAGGCATGGTGAGTGCTAAGGTCAGTGGCTTTGTGCATATGACTGATAATGGACGTCTCTGGGCACCGCAAAAAGATTAGACCAACTGTCCCCTCCCCCAGTGCCCAGGTAATAGTTACATCGCCAGGAAATCAGACCAGGGTTCTATCTGTGCCATTCTAACAAAGTGAAAATAGAAATCAAGTTGAGTTACAGAGAAGCAAACTTCACTTGTCTTACACGGCCAAGCTTATGGGATACAATTTAAATTGGCCCCATGTGTTTGTGTCAACATTCAAACTCTTACATTTTTGATGGAAAAAAAAAGTGCATTATGCTCATTTTTCATCATTTGGTCCTTACAGCAGCTGCTCCTGAGGTGAGGGCAGAGTTGGCATGATTAGGGGGATAGATGGACATGTGGATAGATAGAGAGGTGGATGAATAGATGGGTCAATAGATGGATGGATAAGTGGATAAAAGAGAGGATGGATGGGTGGGTGGGTGGATGAATGGATGGGTGGGAGAGTAGATGGAAGGATGGATAGGTGTGTGGGTATGTTGATGGACAAATGGGATGGATGGATGGATAAGTGTAGGGATAGATGGAAGGGAGGATAGATGGGAGGATGGATGGATGAATAGATACCTGGTTAGATAGATAGGTGGATTGACACATGGATTGAAAGATGGATGGGTATTTGACTGGGTGGATGGATGGGAGGATAGATGGGTAGATGGTTAGGTGGATGGGTAGATGGAAGGATAGATGGATGGGCAGGTAGATGTACAGGTGGATGATGGGTAAACAGAGGAGTGATTATATGTATGTAAGGATTAACAGCCTGGTGGTTGGACAAATGAAACGTGGGGATGGAAATGTATATGGATGGATAGATGGAAGGGTGGGGATATAGAAAAAGACAGAAGAATGAAGATGAGATGATGGATAGATAGATGGACAGAATGATAAAAATAAATGGACGGGTGAATGGAAGGATGAACAGATGGATAGGTAGACAGATAGGTAGGTAGATGGATGGAAGGACAAACATCCTCCCTTTATGGGTACACCTGCTTCAAGACAGCCAAAACAATTGAGGAGAGAGAGCGAAACCCTAAGCTGTGATGGAAGCAACCATGGCAGATACGTAAGATTTAATCTGAAAATTTCCAGCAAATTCTTAACTTTTCTAGGTCCACCAACTCCAATGAGAATCTACTTAGAGATGATTTGTACTGGCAAACTGCACACATGTGCAGTTCGGCAACCATTTCTGAGCTAATGATATCATCCACGTGGCACTGCACTAAGCTCTAACTTTTTGAGCTTTTGCATTTGCATATCTGTCTCCTACTAGACAGTGTCCTCTGGAAAGAGCAGAGTCCCATCTGGGTATCTGGACCTGACCAAATAACACCCTGTGCTGAGCAATAGCTGTTGTGACCAGTCACCCTGCTCTTTCTGCAGAAGGACCATGTATGGCTACTCTGGGCCCCACTTTCCTCTCTTCTGTTTGTAGGGCAGATGGTGAGGGCCGGACAGAGAGAATTCTCTCCATCTGCTGGGGACTGGCATGGAGCAGCTGGGAGGGGCCACAGGAAGGGGTCTTTTTACTCACCGGTCAAGAGTGGTTTAAAACAGTTTCCACACCGTGTGAGGATGGGAAGCGATTTCAGCCATTGTCCCAGACTTATCATTAGCATGTAAATGCTGTCCCGGATCGGGGAACATATTAGCATAATAGCCAAGCATAGAGTCTATCACTAATCACATCTTTAATCAATGTTGTAATTTACAGACCATTGACTTTCCTCATTTATTACCTTTCTGCGCTCGGGTGGGTGGGAACCTTGCCTCTCCAGAATATATAAATGATTAGGAGCAACACCAGAGGTACAAAGGGGCTACACATGATAGAGCCATCGTCCCTGCTGTTCCTGATGGTGTCACCAATGTCTGGGGAAGTCTCCAGATGAATTAATCATGTCCTAAGTGGCTGGCAGTGGGGGCAAGGGTACCACGCAAAATGAACAGGTTCTCTTACAAAAAGAAACTGATCCCTGCAGGAATGTTTCCAGCCCATTGGCTGTGTTTCTCGGAATCTTTTCATCTCTGTCAGTGGGCTATGCACGTGAACTGAATGCTCGGTGGGCAATTGGACCGGCATTAGGGCATCTGTCCGTGGAAGACTTGGAGGGAAAGGCTAGGTTGTGGAGTACATAGCCAATTGTCTTATTTTGATGTCCCTCAGGGGTTGGTATTTTCAGAGGACACTCCCTGCCTTCTGGGGGAGACCCTGGGAGTCAGTTTCCATGGAGAAAGCATAGGTCCCCACTGCCAACCACTGATGTTTAGGGAACTCTCATCTAGCCACGAGGGGGACTTCAAGGGTTTGTGGACACACAGCCTGTGGAGTCCATCACAGCTTCGGACTTTTGAGGACTGTGGTGGGGCCATGCTGGCATATCTCCCAGAGTCTTGTGCGAAGCTAGCCTGGGGTCACTCTGACAATCACTCCTTCCAAAGATACAGCTACGCATCTTCTATCCCTATTGGGAATGTCATTGTTAAAGATACTAATTACAACGCTTTAAATGCCACTGCCAATAACAGTCTATCTTCGAATAGCCAACTGTTTCCTTCCACATCTCTGCTGGAGGCAAGCTTGCAAACCTTAGCCCTGTTCAGCCGCCCTGTCAAAATAAGATTACATAATGCACATTTCCAATGCAGCAAATTCAATAATCAGACTCCTGGCCTCAATCCTTTCTATTTCGGTGGCTTACCACTGTGTATGGGTGGCATTCAGGCACAGGGAAATCAAAATTGCCTTCTGGATATCCCTGAACTCAGGAGCCAGCTCTGTACATATAGAATGCCAACGGCTCCCATGCAACCAGATCTCATTTCCCACTTGCAATAGACACCCCCACCACTGTGGCAGAAACCTCACGGGAGCTTGGCATCCTATTTTGCAGATGAGAACCCCGAGGCCTGCTGAGGAGGGCAGCTTGCCCACAGCAGAGAGGATGAATTCCATTTATAGCCGTAAGTTCAGAGCTCACCCAGACCGCTCCAGCCCTGCACGCTAACAGACTCTAACATGAGACTGTGGGCTTGCCCCAGCTGGCCTTTCCTGCCACCATGGCTCTCTGTGTCATTTCCATGGTTGAGGTGGCAGAGAGAGGCAGGCACAGAGAGAAGTCGCTGACTGGCAAGTGTGACATGGACTTCAGCCAGGCCAGCAGCATGCCGGAACCCTTCCTAAGGCTGCTCTGGCCCTTGTCCATTTGGTCCACCCCAGGCCAGTCTGCTTGGACAGGCTGTGCCTTTCTGAGCTCAGGCAGGGGACAGATGGTCAGGAAAACACAGTGTGAGCTGAAGGAAGGAATTCAGTGAAGATATGGGCAGGGCTGGAGGAGACTAGTGGGAGGAGACGATGTCTGCCAGAGCTACAGTTTGTTGGGAGGTTAGTGGGTTTTAAAGCATGCTCAGAATCCACTTCAATCCAGAACATGGTTATGGCCGTTGGACATGGGGTCTTTGCATATGCCATTAGTTAAGGAAGAGACCGCTGTGGCTTAAACATGACC